AGCCCCTGAAGGCAGGACGAGAAGCAACGGGTGAAAAATTACTAAGGAGAGATCTGGATTTAAGGAGCAATTTCCTAACAGTGAGAACAATTAATCCAGCAGATTCTGGATGCTTCTCATTTGGGGCGTCTTCCCTGGGCACTGAAATCAAATGTGGAGAAACGCCAGGAGACTCCCAACCACTTTAATTCAAAGCCTTCGGGCCAAATCTTTCCTTAGAGACTGATCCATTTGCCCCCTTTCTTTCTCTCCTTTTACTGCCTAGGAAAAATTGTCTCCTTCTGTTTCTCATAAAACCTCCCTAACTCTGTTTTACGTTATTATTATTTTTAATCCCAATGTGCTTCCCATTCTTTGCGCCAGTTTGAAAATATGCTTTTTAAAATGGGAATTAACAAATTTGATTATTTCACTTGTTTTGATCGGTGTGCCACAAGGAGAACGTATTTTGGAAGATGAAATCTACACTTTATATGAAGAATAAAGAAGAAGAAGCTCCTTCTTTTAAGTCATATTATGGATACACTGTTTTATCTCTTCAACAAAGGCTTTTTGGATTATCTAGAGAGAGGAAAGGCTCCCTGTCAGCAGGTGAAAAACCCTCACTCACCAGGGTTGATCTCAGAAACTATGCAAGGCCAGTCCAGGCTAGTCCTGGGATAAAGTGGTCTGGAAATCCCAGGATATCTCTGTCCCTCCCTCCCTCCCTCCCACTCTCCCTATTTTATCTCTATCATCTCGCTCTCTATTATCTCTCTGTATCTTATCTATCTATCTATCTATCTATCTATCTATCTATCTATCTATCTATCTATCTATCTATCTATCTATCTATCTATCTATCTATCTATCTCATCTCTTTCTCTCATCTCTATCTTATCTATCTAGCCATCTCTATCTGCCTGTCTGTCTGTCTGTGTATCTCTCTCTCTCTATCATCTCTCTCTATATATCTCTCTACCCCCCCCCCCAACTATCTATATCATCTAGCTATCAAATTCATATAACTACCCATCTCTCAACAAGTGACTGGGTTGGACACACAAAGCTAAACACAGGTATATACATGAAATTATTAAAAAAAAATAAAAAAATAAAAAAAAATAAAAAGAAGAATTATGAGGTGAAGAATCAGTTTTTTCAGTGCCCTTGTAACTTTGAACAGCCATGAAATGAACTGCTGTGAAGTCATCACCATCCCCAGCGCTTTCACTGGTGGGGAAAAGACCGGAGATCTCCTATAATCAGATAGGTTAATGATGGTTTGTGCCCTCAAGTTGCTGTCCACCTTTAACCCCCCCATGGATAGACTTTCTCTGGGGAGACCCCTCCCCCCACTCCTCCAGGTTCTCCCTCAGCATCCCCCTCCCCCCACTGCAGCTGAGCCCCTCCCCCTCCCTGCTTCTCATCCTTTTCCTCTCTCTCCTTCCCTCTTTCCCCGCATCAGAGCCCCCCCCAACCTCCCCCCCCAAGAGAGCCGAGTCTCCCCGTAACGTGTGAAGGGGGAGATCGGATCCTTTGGGTCCTTTGGGCCTCCGGGGACGTTTCTCCAACCCTCCCTCGGTTTGTTCCCTGGGCTGTCCGGGGTCTCCTCGGGGGTCGGGAGGGACCCTCATCCTCTTCCGGGGGGGAGGGCAGAGGACCGAGGGGGCCGCCCCACCTGGAGACTCAGCCGTGGGGCGGAGCGGAAGAGTCCCGGAGCTGCCCTGGGGAGGAATCCGGCCTTGTTGCCTGATGGATCAGGGCCAGTTCTTGGTTCCACTTCGGGGGAGCCCAGCGCTTCAGGCCGGGGCGGGGAGGGGAAGCGAAACTCCAGCACTCCTTCAGCTGTTGTGGGTTGCAGAAAGGAACAAAGTTCCTCTGTGTGTTTGTGTGGGGTGTGTGTGTGGAGGGCTGGGGGGGGGGCAGAAGGAAATCAGAGGAAATCAAAATCCTGCTGGGGAAACATGAAAAGAGTCCAGGAGTTCTGCTTTGATCAGGCGCTGCCTGCACCTGGGACCCTCTTTGTGTGACTGGCTGTGTATATACACAACTGTTGTGCAGCGGGGCGAGCCCCTCCCCTCCCTCCCCTCCTGCTTTGGGGAGTTTCTCCTCAAGTGATAGATGTTCCTTTAACATTCGTTAATTGTTCCTTTTTTAAAAAAAATGTGCCTGAACAAAACCTCCTTGCTGTGGATACAACAGATTTTTGAAATTTGGGGCAAAAAAAAACTTGGACAGAAAAGAGGGGATGTGGAAACCCAACACAGGGTCAGTCAAAAGGGACTCAGATGCCTCTACACACCAACGCTCAAAGTAAGAGGAATAAACAGGGAGAACGTGAGACCCAAAGGCAGGAGTGTCATTGTGGCAATTCCTGAAACTTAGTGGAATGAAACCCACGACTGGAAGGCACAACTAAAAAGCTTTAATGTCGAGGAATTGAGTGGCGGCTGTCCAAATGAAGTGGGAGACACTGACGCAAACTTGTAGTTTTACATCAATAAATAT